CATGTTATCTTTTGTCTGAGTCTGAATCGGGTGAATAAAATCCGGTGAATAAAATCTGGTGAATAAAATCTGGTGATATTAAGAGTAAACGCGAGGTAGAATTTCTACGTACGTAGCAAAGGGTTTTTGTGCAGAAATGTATTTTACGTATATATATATATATCGATATAACGACAATAGATTTCTCGAAACTTTAAATTATGTAGGGTTCTAATACGCCAACGTATACTTGTATACTTGTATACTTGTATAACTTGTATAACTTGTCTAAAAGAAAGTTCGAATTGAATAAAATCATGTGAACTGTCATTAACTCATTAAAGTAACTCGTTACCGTAACTTGTTAACGTTAATGTAATTCTGTAATTTGTTAATGTATTGTAACATGTGACTCTACAAAATATAAACGGTTGATATAAATGGTATGAAAAAAAATAACGTAATTTATTTAATGTAATTATCTATTATACGTATTTAGTTATGTCTAGACGAATTTCTTTAAATAATTAAACTTTCCTTTGGTTTGACAAAATGAATTCACCACAATTAACTTCCGATTTACATTCGGAAGTGGAACAATATGCTTATACTCCTAGTTACTTGGATCCTAACAGAATAAGATCGCGGCGAAATACTTTTACTTATGGTGATTTCTCTCCTTGCCCTTCCCCTACTGTTGGCTCTAGTTCTGTTGATGCTCATAGCGAACTCGTTCCTTATTCAAAAGAATGGACTGTTATTTTGTAAGTAACTTTATCTATCTTACAACCTTTTATTATGTATTTATAGAACGCGTTTTATGTACTCGTTTCGAAAAATTGTATCGATTATCAAATGTTTTTATTGAAATAAAGAAAAAAATTTTATATCAAATTTTATATCAAATTTATATCAAATTATTCCCAGTTAAATAAATAAATAAATAAATATATATATTTATTTATATTTTGGCGTAATTCATCTTCAGGCGTAGTGAGAACGCTGGTCAACTCGTTCTTTACAATACGACTAATCGTCGCGTCTCAGTACGACGGTTACCTCAAAATAATTCTAATCAGGTTTCCTCTGACGCCAACATGGTTCATTCAAGCTTATTTTTTTTATCCCAATTCTTTGTGGGAAACTTTGTTTAATCTTCCAGCTCATTTCATTATTTCTAAAAGGCTTTGTCTTCTCCTCATATGTGTGCGTTGTGTCGAAGACCCCTGCTTTCAACTACTACGGTTGGTTGTTTCAAACAAATGTCTTAATCTTTATTATATGTGTTCTTTCTTTATTTAATTTATATACATATATATATTTTAAAGACTTCTGAATCAGACTTTATGCACAGAAATTACTTTCGATTATTAGAGAATTCTGAAAAGTTGGTTAATTTTAATTTTAAATATTTTTTTTATTATTCATTTCAAATTATCAAATTAAAACTTGTCAAATTTTTTTTTTCAAACCTTATTATTATAGCGTACATAATGGTCAGTCTACTCCATTCGTACAACCTTCAGATTCAACACAATCTTCTTCTTCCTCCTTTTTGGATCCTATTATCGAAAATATTTCATCCCTTTCTGAAAGCTCCTTTAATCAAGGATATTATGAAAGGTTTTTTATTGAAGAAAGGAAATTGGGTAGAGGTTCTCGTGGTTCTGTATTCTTGTGCAAGGTAAATTTATTAAATATATTAAGCATTGTTTAAATATGAATATATTGATTAAATAATGTTTAAATTAATTTTATTCATTCATTTTTTTTATTTTTTAGCACGTATTGGACAATGTTCATCTTGGTGAATATGCTATCAAAAAAGTAGCTGTAGGTAAGAATGTGTTAAATTTGTCGAGTTTAATTAATTAATAATAATATTATTGAATTTGAAATATTTCATTTCATTTGTCCTTTACGTATTATGCCTTAATAGGTGATAATCATTCATGGTTGGTTAAAATGTTGAGAGAAGTTCATTTATTGGAAAGATTACATCACCCAAATATTGTGGATTATAAACATGCTTGGTTGGAGCATCACCAGTTAACAAATTTTGGTACATCAAATATATCAATGATGTTTGTGACTATAAGACTATATTATAAGTGTAATATTTACGTGATTTCTATTTAATTTCTATTTAATTTCTTTATTGGATTTCTGTTTGGTTCTATCGTATTTCTATCGTATTTCTATCGTATTTCTATTGGATTTCTATTTGATTTCTGTTGGATTTCTGTTGGATTTCTATTGGATTTCTGTTGGATTTCTGTCGGATTTCTGTCGGATTCTATTGGATTTTATTTTTTGATTTTTTTTTTTTAGGCCCACCAGTTCCATGTTTATTCATACTAATGGAACGTGCCAATGGTGGCAATTTAGAAGAATTCATTGATGTTCAACCAACCACTTTTTCCATGCAAAAAGATTCTAATGAACATCTTACACCAAAAGAACGTTTACTTCGTGCGAGACGAATGTTTTATACTGGCCATCTAAGTGAACAGCCAACACTCAACTCTCCTTTACCTTCAAAACGACATTTGAACCTTCGTGAAATTTGTTCATTATTTATGGACATTTGTGAAGGTTTAGATCATTTACATAAACAGGGTATCGTCCATCGTGATTTAAAACCTTCTAATTTACTATTACAATACGATAATTCGGAAGACTTGACTGGAATGTTCGTATGTCAATATCCTCTACCGTATTTACTACTTCTTGTATTTACTATATTTTATTTTGATAATAATTACGTTTAAATGAATTTTATATTATTATTAGACCAAGAGTATTGATATCCGATTTTGGAGAATGTGAAATTTTAGACCAAGTCACCGAACGTGATAGAACTGGTGCTACAGGAACACTAGAATTTATGGCACCAGAACTAATAACCGGTAAATACAGCATACAAGTATATCATGTATTAAAGACTATATAGTTATGTAAACACTAGTTAATGTTAGTTAATATAGTTAATGGAATTTTTATATTTATACAGTTGATGAAAGAGGTCGTTATCTTAAAGAATACTCTCAAAAATCAGATATGTGGTCACTTGGAATGGTACTTTACTATTTATGTTACTCAAGACTTCCATATCATCAAATTGATGACGTTGATCTTTTGAAACAAGAAATTATACATTTTAATAGGTTGGTATTTTTTTCATTTTATAACATTATGTGATTCATAATACATTTTTATTGACTATATATTTTATTAACTATATATATGTATATATTCATTTGCATAATTTGCATAATTTGAATTATTTAAATTATTTTCTTATTTTAATTATTTAAATTATTTAAATTACTTAAATTATTTAAATATTTAATTACTTAAATTATTTAAATTATTTATTTAAGCGTATCATTTCCAGATAATGGTATGACTAGTAATCGTAGGATTTCTAGTCAACTTAGAAATTTAATTACATGTTTATTGTCTCGTAATGCTAAAAGTAGGCCATCATGTGATGAGATTTTAAAATCTTTTGGTGACATGCGTTCCACTTTTGTTAGTATGGAGACCATGAACATTTATGATGAGGTAATGGTCATAACTATTTATTTGTAAAAAAAAATTGTTTATTTTAATGAAATTTGATTTTATATTTTTATATTTCATATGTTAGGATCCATTCAAAGTTACTCCCATATTAGATAATGACATAAGATCTTCAAATTCTTCACATGCAAGTAGTTCACATATGGAATCCGAAAAACTTTCACGAATTCCATCAAATACTAGTACAGTTACAACAAATCCTGGTAAAGTACATTTATTTAAACTCTCCAATTTTTTTTTTCCTCGTTATATTTTAACGTATCCAATTTCAATGTCAGAAACATCAGAATCTACCGATGAAAATGAAATAAATGAATCAGAATTAAGAAGACGAAGAATAAATATTGAAACTACTGATGGGATATCAACAACTCCAAATTTTATTAATACCACCGTTGAATCTGATTTTGTTGTTGAACAGGTACCTTGTAAAGTTTGTTAAAAAGATTACTTCCTATTATTTGGCTAATTATTCGTTTATTCATGATCCCCGTTACTTCATGATCCGTTGCTTCATGATCCGTTACTTCATGATCCCGTTGCTGACATTTATCTATATAATATTAAAGAATGGTTCACTTCATGAAAACTCAAGAGCTGTAATTCGTTTAACTCCATCATCAACTTTGATATCGCGGCTGTCATATATCATTGTGGCCATGTATTCTTATATATTTGAAGATATTAGCTGGTGGAATCTGTTAAAACTTATTATTGTGGTTTTAAAGGTCATTACTTTATCGTTATCATCATCATATTTATTTAATGTATACTTGTTTAATATATTTTGTGTTTATAAATTTTTAATAAATTTTAAATTTTATTCATTTTAATAAATTTCACTGAATATAGGTTATAACATGTTTAACACCTTGTTCACCTTATTTACCTTCACCATGGGTACTTTATCCTATCCTTATTTTTGCTGTACTTGACCTTTTATCGTAAGTATTAAAAGTGTCTATATCTTGTACTATTAAAACTTTTTTTAATAATGTTATTATTTAAATAAATATAGTAAAAGGAAGACGGTTAGTTTTATATTGGGTATTTTGCACATATCATGGATGATAATCTTTTTATCTTTAAAGGGAATATATTGTAAGGTTTAAAAAAAAAAAACTAATCGAATATCATTCTTGGAACAGTGAACATTGTGTGGATAATATAAAAAATATATCCTAATACGTATATCTGGTATATATATATATAAAGTATATTATTCATTAATAAATTTTGGCACAAAGTGTTCATGTATTTAGAAATAATTAGTTTATGTAAGTTCAAATAACAGGTTTCTTATTATATATTAGCATATTACTGTATTTTGCTGTTTGTAATTTCTACGTATCATTTGATCAATATTTGTACGTACGTACGTATGTACAGTAGTAAGTCAAAGAAATATCACCAAAAAACTTTATTTTGTTTTACGTACAAGTTTTTTAAAGTTATACGTACTCTTCAATTATTATGCAGTGCATCTTTAAACCGGCCAAAAAATTTTATACTTAAAGCCATCTTTCTATAAGTTGATCAATTTAGAACTATCAGCAAAATTTTTAAGGGGAATTTACTACAAATAAGGGGGGCATTTAAAACCTGGCACCTTCCGGTTTTTCCGATTTTTAATTAATATCGATATTAGGATTAGGGTTAGACACAGGCTAGGAGGTCAATAGTTATAGTAATATCGCATTTCCGAGACCGAACTAGATAGCAATTTTTTATATTTTCGTGTTTTTGTCTTTGTCGGTTTGTTCGGAATAATCCGTGACGCCTATCGGGTAATTTCGTAAAGTGCCAGACTTTAAACGACCCAATAAGGTCTAAAAATAACAAAAGCATATGATGGCGAACTTTAAAATATTTATATCACATGTTTGATTGATCAAATCGAATCGAATCAGCTACCCCAGTGAGACCGTGAAAGATCGTCGCAGATGCACCAATCAGATCTTTTCTAACAATCACCTCTCTATGAAACCACCTACTGCGCACTAACAAAAAAAATTCTCTGTAAAATTTTAGTATAAGATAAGCCATAATTTCAGTCACAACCCCAACCCATATTGACGATCTCACTGGGGTAGCTTACCAAAATCCAAAAATATTTCAATTTGTTAAAAAAGACCAGTAATTTTTTTTAGAGGCATTATGGAAAATCGGGGTATCTCGTGATTCAGTAATCATATAACCGAATGAAACTTACACTATTCGATTCTTCTCGATGGGAGGAGTCGAATGGTATAAAAATCGGTGAGTTCTGGTCTCGGGGTCATGAGATATTTCGATTCGCCATGATATCTTTTTACTATTGTTCTACTGTATATACTTTAATGTTTAAACATGGATATCTTGTGACTCTATTATGATCAGAATGATGGCGATTCTTAAATCCATAGACTTCCCTCGATGAAAGGAATCAAATGGTCCGATTCTGATCACAGGATCATGATTCGCCATAAGATCCCTCTCTCATACTTCAAATAGCCCGAGTTGGAAGTGATATTCAGATAAAATCAAAGTTTATTTGTATCTGTTAATTCATTTTGACTAACTTCAAATAAACTGGATAACAAGAATTGTTATTATACCGATACATACAAATTTCTTGATTCCTTTTTTTAAAAAAATAATTATTTAACATGAATGATTCAAGCTCTGATCGGTTAATATAATAATGTCTGTCACGTATTACTACACGTAATTTTTTATGTTCATATATACTACGTAACAATGTAATTGCGTAGTAGGTTAGTAATGTCCAAAAAATTTTACCACCCGAGTTTCCGGACCTCGATCGGATGGTTCGGATTCGGACTTCGGATTGGGCCTACGAAGTGCTAATACAAGCATAATGCAAGCTAGCTAATATTATGCAAAATTACGTCTGAGCAACTTTACTTAGCTTATCGGTTAGCAGGTTTATTAGTAAAATTCGCTAAAATTTGGTAATTTTCGGGCATAATTAATTGGGTCCGGAGGCCGAGTTACACGAAATGGTAAAATTTTTTGGATCACTAACCTACAGTATTTGCAGATGCCGAATAACCCTTCTTGTGATGACAATGTCGAGTAACTTATGAAATAACGGATGATGAAATTTAACAGTTTCCAGTCTTTTTTTAGGAATTTGTAATTATGTAATATATATAAGATTCGTTCACAATCCTGTTATGAATAGCGTCCTCTGTTTTTTAATTTTACAATTGAAATTATTAGAAGCACATTCATAAGAAATGATCTGGTTTTTCTAAATAATAAAGAGTGATATTGTAAGATGGCTGCTATGTGAGAAATATGTAAATATTGTGTTACATACTGTTGTGCATATATTTATATATATAATATGTATTGTATATAACACAAAATTAATTTCTCTAAAATTATGGCCGATGAATTTAGTTCTAAAAGAAAGGAATATTATGGAAAATGTGCAAATTGTAAGCGATATAACACATCTCATGCTTGGTGCCAAACATGCGACCCTCATACGATAGTACAAGGATGGATAAGTGGAAATAAGGAAGTCGATGATTGTATTAAGGAAATACAACTTAAAGCAACAAAATATGAAGATGTAATCGAGTGGATTCCTTTCAACAGATTAGTTAATATTCAAGAGAATGGAGACAGATTTTTAGCAACCTGGTTAGATGGTGTACGATATGTAAATAA